CAAAGCAATTGGACTTGCGGTTTTTAACAAGAAGTTGAAAATATCACTTTTTACAAAAAATTACAAAAATATTCACCAAAATTAGAGAACTAAAGATATCATTACAAAATGAACAAATCTGAGAGAGGTCTACATGTAGTACCTACATATGTAATATCAAAGCAATTAGACTTGCGGGTTTTTAACAAAAAGTCAAAAATATAACTTTTTACCAAAAATGACAAAAATATTCACCAAAATTAGAGAATTGAAGATATCATTACAAAATGGACAAATCTGAGAGAGGTCTACCCAAGGTACATATACACCAAGTATCAAAGCATTCAGGCTTGTAGTTTTCAAGAAGAAGTCGAATAAGTAAAACATTGACACGGACGACGGACGACAGACGACAATCACTCATCTGATAAGCTCCGCTCGACAAAGTCGACAGCGGAGCTAAAAATAGCAAAACAAATTCAGAAAGAGCAGAATTGAGATTGCAGAAAAAAAGGAAGTAGGAGGAGATTTTCATTGTCAGTTCATTTTTTTTTATTGAGAACAATGTCCAATGATGTATTCACGTTGATTGTCATGTCTAAAATGATATACTAAGCGTTCACACACATACTTTGTTAGCCTGTGCTAAGGATCGGGATTTACCCTGTACATCATGTTTCTTAGCCTGTGCTAAGTGTTCTCACGGGTATTCTTAGCATAGACAAATGTTATTGAGCTCTTAACTGGTGCTAAAGAGCTGTGTGTGAACACAACTAATGTGAACGACACTAACGCTTCATACCTAATCAATCTGGTTGAATGGTACCGGTATGTTAATATTGACTTTTTTGTCACTGTATAACAAACATGTAACTACAAATTCATTCTGGTGTGAATTCTGATTTATGACTGTCCTTCAACTCTAAAAAAATAATGTATTTGTTTGTAACTCATTATATCAATACAAATGTAACTTGATAAGTCCAGCAGTTGTCCTGCTAGGTGGTGTTTGTGGCTGCCAAACTAGATGTAACCAGATATACCTACATGTAGGAGGATATATTGTATTTGTATACACATACAGAAAGATTATAAAATCATCCCAAGTCATCATAGTCTAGATGTATTCCAATTTCAAAATTCAAATTGTATTAAAGAGGATTTAGCTTCATATTTACAAATGAAATTATCTACTCAAATAACACATCACTAAATCGTCATTAAGTACCAGATATCTGATATTTTAATCCTACTTGAGTCTCTTGTTTTGGGATAATTATTCTTGTGTATACACTATCCTTTCATCCTGCTAGTTTTTGCAGACATGGATGTGTTGAGAAAACTTGTGGAAATATCACAATTTGTATTGTGGAAATGACTGACAATACATCACATCAACAGTTTTCAAAATCTCAAGACAAAAAACGAAAATCTAAAGAACATGAAGATTGGAAAAGTTACAAGGAGTTTTGCCATTTTTAACACAGAGATATGAATGTAAATTTCATGTGAGCATCTATGCCATTAGAATGCATTGGAATCGTTTTTAGCTGTTTTTAGATTACTTCATAATCAATTTGCCCGTGGGAATACTACCATATTTTCTCTATTAGTAGCATACATGCTCAATACGTAAATTACAGTAAATTTTCTATGGACAAAATAACATCCAATATCATTGTTCAAGTTTATTTCAGTTAGATAACATTACATATATTATATATATATTGACATTATTGTCTGAAAATCTAAAAGTATTTCTCTTGTAGTTAGACATTGTAGTCAGGCAACTAATTGGGAAGTACCGGTACTTTTTTCTCCAATATTATCAGAGAAAAAAACCAAATAGAGTCAGTGTAGGAGTTAACAGCTAACTAAGATATCTTGTACAATAATATTAGAGTAAATTGTTCAAAGCTATCACGATTTCATCAGACTGTATCAAACGATAATTAATCATAATTATTATGTAATTGAATATCCTGTCTTTGTGCATGCACATTCCAATTATACAGATTAACCAATCACATATCCTACCATCTTTGGGCAAACCCAATCTCGGGTTCACATTAGATGGCTCCCCAAACTAGTATGTTATTATAGCCTTCTCAGCATGCCAGCTCACCCATTATATAATACTTCTCAAATTCCTTAAATCCCTGTGAATTTGGGAAACCAGATGTTGCACATGTATTCTCCTTTTTGCAAAGGATTGGGAAGAGAGCAAAAATAGAACACACTAAATCTAACAATAGTCAATACACCCACATCCAACAGTACACCCACATCTAACAGTATGTCTACATTAAAGTTATATGCAGCAATGGTTTTAGAAAGGAGACTGCATCATAGAAAACAGGAAAACAGAGACAATTTAAATTATATTCGAGATCTCAGCTATCTCTACCGATATCTCCCTATGTGCATAATTGTGATACTACCAGTATTTAAATCTTTATCTCAATTATCAGCATTTATGTGCATAAATAATGTTTACATTGTACATAATTAACAGTTTATAGACATGATAGTTGCATTTGCGCACAACTCCTTAAATATCCACAATTCTTTTACTGACTTTATGTTCCAGTCCATCTTTGAAAATAGGAATGGTCACAGCATTTCATATACCATAATAATCTTGGAGGCAAGACTATCTTAGCCAATCAAAAATCTTATTGGACATCAGCCAATCAAAACCTGGAATTCATACAGGTCACTGAACAAATACACTCCCCCCCTCCCATGTTAGCGTCACACTTTATCAAACAATTTGTCGAACTTGAACTGCACTCCCTCTCAAATTTTCTGACAACTTATTATTCAAAGTATTTTATTTTGAATGTCATGGTCAAGTGAACACAGATAAAGCCATTCCATATTAAAGTGCTTTCCATAGTTACTTTAGGAATGTACCTGGCAACCCATCACCTTGACTCTGTTGGTTCAGTTGTGGCAACAAAAACAAACTTCACTAAAAAAAATGCTAGGAGCAAGCAAGCAAGTTTTGCAAACATTGACACTGTTTATATTTGAGGTTGAGACCAGTGGTTGGGTGTACACTGATTCATCCATACAAGTTCAAAAATAAATACAAATACCCTATTTTAAAGTAAAGAACAATTAGCTAAAGAGATTATTAAATAAATAGTATTCTTCACATATTATGCACAAATGTAATTCTATGCGTTATATCCCTGTGGTCTGCCTATTTACATTTTATGTTTATTTCTTGCAGAATGAGAATAGCTATCCCAAGGAATGTCTGCTGTTGCCGGTAGATTATACTAAAAATATGGGAAAAACGTATATATCAAGACTTTGTAATGGTTGATTTCTCTGCCTACTACAAGTTGTGTAATTGTTATGTCAATTGTTTTTATGAGGCTAATTGTTTTGAATTTAAAACTCTTTTTTTTAAAATAACTGTAAGAGATTAAGTAGTGTTTGTATGCAGACCAACACATACAGTGTGAGATCACAGCAGGGTGTTGTTTTTTAAAGATCTGATTTTCTATTGGGTTGGGAAGATAGAGGAATTGTGGGTTGACTCATGAGGTTTGTGACATCTGTGGTCAGATGAAATAATTAGCATTTGAAAAGTATTATTAAACAGTAAATTCAGTATTTGCTACACTACCATCCTAGACTAATTGGTTTCATGTGTGAATTATACCATGGAACTAAAAACATGTGTTTTTACCTCTTATGATTATACCGATCAGTAAATACGTTTCTTGCAGAGAATGCACACAAGTGTACAAAAAATAGTCTTTTCTCGTTTTTAATCCAATTAATTGATATATTAGGCACACAATGCACGATGTGTAAATGCATTCAGAAGACAATTACTGAAGTTTTTTTTTGCAGTTAACTAATTTACGATTCAAATATGAATTCATTTCACCATCCAAGAGTGTGAAATTTTTAGTTTACAATCTGAGCTCCTGATGTCCTGGAAAAGCTAACAGGATGTTAGTACAGTACAATTCTAGGGTCATTCAGGTTTTATTACCCTGGTGTTTTAGATGCCAGGGGCATGGTTTTAACGCAAAGAGTACTGTAAAAGACATATTTGGATGGTATATGCAGGTGTTTTATGCTCTTAAATATCATTAGTGACATGGAGCAGTCAGGGTTATTACTATGTAATGTTTATCTGAACTTTTTATAGCTTGTTATTTGAGTTATCACAAAGTTGTTGAGGGTTTAAATACCATTGCATCATTTACAAGGTCGTTGATTTCAATAAAGTTAAACTGGTGTGATAACGGGACTTAGATGATTTGCTTTTAAGCAAAATTTGACATTATTATTTTAATGTTTGTGTGAAAACGCTTCACTAGTTTGTTTGGCAATGCCTCCGAGTGTAGCGTATGGTGTTACGTAAATTGTTACGTACTTCAAACAATCAAGAAGGTGACATCAACCATCATTTCATCATATCGTAAGGGTACAACGGGGAACCTGCATTATCATTACCAGCGGCAGCCATTGTAGACCGTAAATGATAAATACCCGCCAAGAAAAAATACAAACAACGCTCAAAGTGGATGATAGCGGAGTCTGTCAGTGGCACTGGTGCAGGGGTGAAACGAAATGTTCAAGCAGCTGTCCGGTTTGCGGCGGCTCGGCGGGGGAAATACGCATCGTTTGACTTAGCTACATCATACGACCTAACTTAAAATAGTCTCAAATGCAGAGTAACAACATAAATGTTGTACTGATGTGTTATAGTTTACATGTAGTCGGTCACTGACAATGTTTTAGTATTGATCTCACGCCGCCCGTATATTTGTAAGCGCCGCATTGTAGCCGGTCTTGTAAACATACATGGCGAGACCAAGAACGATCAGTTCAGCCTTTTCACAGGCAAGCACCCATGAACGGTCAGCGTGTCAAATTGCAATCAAGCACGAAATATGCAGCGTACATTTGGGTCAGGGATGCATACGTACACGTTGTACACTTTTAAAAGTAAACATTCAGTCAGTCATGTACAAAACTCGACGAAAACTCACCAATTTTCTCAGCGTCGTCTCGTCCTTTCCGCCGTACGTATTCATCCTGAACTGTTTACTGACTCCCGGGACGCTAAACCGGTGACAGACTACTTTGACTGTCCGACATCTGATAGAAAATTAGCCCCAAATGACAGCTATACCGTGAGAGCTGTAGTACATGCTAATGTGTGGCGGCCTCGGTCACAGTGCACCGGCCTAAATGCTAACACTGAGTACACTCACAGGATGTAGAAGCGTACAATGGGGCGGGACTCCACCGCGTGTTGGTTGCCGTAATTCTTGTAATGGGGGTGATGCCCTAACAACAATAGATGGACTTTCTATGTGTCCCCTTTCACAGGAAAGACCTTTAATTTTCCCGCAAATTATAACATTTCTGTTGAACTGTAGTTCAAAACAATAAAAGAAGGTCCTGTAGTGTTTTCGAAATGGTCTTATTGCTTTTATCAATCATAGAACAATCCGACGCCCTTATGGTGTGTTACATCAATCATGAAAGTAAAACTAGATCAATTCTTTACCTCCATGCATTAATATAATCGCCCGTGTTTTGGTCTTGCTTTATGACAGAAGGTTTGGCGTTTTTTAGACACCAGCAACTCGTTTTTACCAGGATATTCAAAGATCACAAAAATAATGCTGTTATCGTATATAAGACGGTCCATGACAATGTCAAAAGCCATAATAAATCACTGATTTGAGTGTCATCCCGGGATCTCACCCAACAAAGACACAAGTACGAATGAAAAAAGAAGGACCATGGAACTTTTGTTATATCGAAATATCGATAACAATATATGTACTATATATATATTATATAGGGAGTCCATTTCAGCAAGTGATGTGTATGAAGTACGCTTTATCATCTTGAAAAAAAAAACTTCCATTGCAATGTGGACACATTTTATGATCGATACCCTATTTAACGAAATACATGTACCTTGACGTAAAAGTAGACATCTCACGTGACAATCTATTGAGTTCAGTTCTAGCATAATAAAAAAAAGTCAATAGCTATGACGTAGTTTGGTTTAGTAACCTAACTGCCTATGTCACATCAGTTTGGTGGTTCCTAGTGTGCTACGCTTGATACCCTTGAAAATTCAAAAAGTTTGTGGAAGTCGCTGTCAACGTCATCACGGTTGCGGTCATCATACCATTCATTCACTGCGACGATGTGGAGTCTGTTATTTCCACCATGTTTGCCACAGATACATAATAACCCAAACCCACCACGAAATAAAAACTGCAGAAAATAATTCCATGGGGGTTTAAATTGAGGAACAACACCAAGTTCGTGTGACAGGTCCGTAATTACTTTCTGGCAGACTTGTGCCCGTCCGTTACATGTCTGGCAGTACGTTATATCGTCACGGCAACCCGTATTTATGTATACTCTAGGTATTGAGTTCTACCCGGTGTTATAGTAATTACTTTTTTGGTAAATCTGTATGTTCGTTCTATAATTCACAACAAAACATATGATCTCATTGTGATATTAGCGACTTCTTGGCCAAATTATAGTTCTGCTATTAACATGTAATTGGCTACTAGTATTTATCAAGTCGAGAATCCCTGGGTAACTGTCCTTAGAAATTCACATGCTTTAGTCACACGCTGAGGCCCCAACCGCTTAAGTATTCCCAAGAACTCAAGTTGAACTCAGTTTGTCACTGAAAAATAAAATACGATGAGAACGTAATTCAACCATGTTTTTGGAGCTTCCAGCTAAACAACGCAGAAATACCAATAAATCACCACCGCCAGAGGTCGCCACGAATCATCAGAGTCGGTTGGCAACCCATCAATCGTCACGATTTTCAAGTTGAACTGAGGTATTCAGTCACACATTACCGTAAGTACAGGCATAAGTATAGACCTGTTTGAAATATATCACATTGCGATGCCCTGAAACTAAGCGATTCCACCCTCCGAGAAAGGCTCGGTTGTCCAGTAATTAACATTTCTTGCATTCGTCACAGAGGGCGTGGTGGGATTTTCGCGCCAGCGAAATTAGACCATAGGACCACAAGAGTGCGGAGAATAATGACCGATTTAAGGATTTTCACCCAAATATTCGCACTTTATTCCGAAACACATCTATAATAAATCATAGACACGTGGCATAGATGAACATTTCTGTGTGGAATAGTCTCACGTGACCATTCCAGTATATTTGACTTTCATCGTCACGTACATGCAAGAGTTTTCGAAGACACTACCAATATTGAATATATTTATTATTATTGTATTTTACAGAAAATTAGGAGTACAAATAGATAGTCAACAGTGGCAATGGCTCATATTTGTGACATCATGAAAAAATAAAACCTATTATCATAATAAGATGAAGTCAGTGGGTGGTCTTTGTACCAAATAAATGGCACTGGGCATACTAACTTCCCAAAGTTTCATATGCGTGCATATGAGGCAAGGGTACCTCTATAAACGAACTGCGATGAAGCCCACCAGTTAAGGGGGGTGGTCGTCGCGCTGCGCATGTGCGAAATTTGTGTTGATAAGCATTGATTTTTCCACAATCAAATGCGCTAATGGAAATCATGAGGTTTGACCTGGGCGCGACTTGCACTAATCACCATTCATCAAACAAATTACCTAACTGAAGCTTGGTAACATCTCAGTTTCTAGTCGTTGGTCTGCGCAACAGTCGAAGTCGCCGTCCTTGTTTGTATGAGACCCATATCTCGCGCATGCTTGGCGCGAGAACTACGGCCCTTTAGTCAAAGATGAAGATGAACCGTCGATTCAAAGTCCCTATATATCACCGAAGTGCCCTCATATCTTTGGTGGAATGAAGTTCATCTGGGGTCTCGCCCTTAGAAACCCAGACATCACGGTATGCATGGTGTCAACTGAATGAAATATATTCCCTTGATATATGTATATGTGACTGTCAACATACCATGGTTGATTTCATAGTATCAATTTGCTAAATTAATGTTATTACGACCAGGGACTTTATTGTTATTTATTTCACAACTCGTATTGAAATCATAAATTACATAAAAGACATATGTAGAACTACAACATTGTTTCAGTTGTATGGACAGATCGTGAGAGCAGAAAATATGTGTGTAGAGTACAGGCAGGCAACCTTGGGTTGTACACTGTATTTGTGCATGTACACGTACAGGGAGTGTAGCTATAGTTATTGATTAATGAGAAAATTTTCTGTAAATGCTTTCAGCTTTGCATATACAACTACATACTGCAATAAGTATTGATTTGTATTGCATATAAATTGTTTATACCTTTTGAATCATTGCTGGGTCGATTTAGCTTGATACCTTCATGTGTAGTTGTTTGTTCAAGCATTGGCGTTCTGCTTCCATAAACGTGAATATTGTCATTATTACGTACATGGTCACGTCTATGTTTCGATGCTATACTTTTTTTTTTCAACTCCGTCACTTCGGAAAGATAAGTAACACATGCTGTTTACATACTGTCCTGGATATTTATTTTAAGAGGGTCATGGTGGATTCAGTGGGAAGTTATTTTAATCAAAATGTTTTGACCACACACGTTAGCGTTTATTAACAAAACTGTACATAATTTAAAACACGTTAACTACGTGAACCACGTTAGCGAACGGACAGAAGTTGATGCAAAGTATTGGTAGTACGTTGTCAGCAACGGATCGTGATATTTCGGAAAAATTCTAAATCGCCAAGCATCCTGCAGTTATATCGCAATACACATGAAATGAAGAAATAGTTAGCGGTAGCTAATTGCACCATATATGTACGTAAATAGAATGTATTGGCGCCGATATCGTCATATGATTGTGTGAAGGATAACCCTCGGGCTACGCATGTAGACAAGAATCAGCATTTTGTAAGACTGCATCTACACGAAGATTCGTCATTGTATCTGCAATATTAGCAGCATAATGTTAACCCATTTTTCCAAATGTTACCACAAAGACGGAATTAGCAGCTACCAAAACTTTTTCATGGCGACCTTTCTTGAAATGGAAACTGTGACGAGACTGTAAAATATATTTAGAGATCATATCTTTGTTTATCCAAAGCATATCGTTTACTAATTAGCTGATTTACAGCGATAACGATAATACCACCGTGTTTAGACTGCTCTTACTGAGCAAGCTTTGGCCTCAAACTTGTACATTGCACGGTGCGGACAGCTTGTTTTGTTATTCATGCTGGGCCAGCGTGGTTAACACAGGTCAAGTACTAGTATTACTATATGTGTACATTATGAACATCGACTGACGAAGCGACTCGGTTGATGGGTTCCGGTTCAGGGGTGTCGATGTTTTCCAGATGTGTTGTGGATTCATACTGAAATTGATCATACTCATTACTGTAAACAGTAGAGTCTATATGTTAACGCGACAAAAGAACTACAAAAGTATACAAGAACTAAGCAGATACTATAGGCTAGATTCGTTCCAACGATGGATTGCAGTGGGTTTTATATGTGACGGGGTTGTAGTTGATACCATAGGCTGGATTCGTACCTATGATGGGTTGTCGTGGGTACCATAGGCTGGGTACCAGTGATGGGTTGTGAAGGTTGCCATAAGGTGGATTTGTATCAGTGATGGTTTGTAATGGATACCATAACTGCTGGATTTGTACCAGTGATGGGCTATAGGGGGTCCAATAGACTGAATTCGTATTTGTGATGGGTTGTTGTGGACACCATAGGCTGGAGTCCTATCAGGGATGGGCTGTAGTGGATACCAAAGGCTGGATTTGTACCAGTGATGGGCTGTAGTGGGTCCAATAGACAGAATTCGTATTTGTGATGGGTTGTTGTGGACACCATAGGCTGGAGTCGTACCAGTTATGGGCTGTAGTGGGTACCATAGGCTGGATTCGTACCAGTAATGGGTTGTAATGGGTCCAATAGGTTGAATTCGTACTTGTGATGGGGTGTAGTTAATACCATAGGATAAATTTGTGCCCGGGGGGGGAGGCTACTTCCACATTAAGTTGTTAGGGGTGTGCAGCCCACCTCTCGCAAACCACACTCGCTTCTAAACCATTTTTTCTATTCATATACCCACTTCTAAACACAAGTGTTCAGGGGCGTCGATCCATTCTGAAAAGTGAGGGGGACACTTTTGTGTCCGCGTAAGCGGCCAATGTCCGCGCTTGCGCGAACAGTGGGGTGTCTGAGAAGGGGGGACTGCCCTATGTTCCGACATCTCTATGTTCCGACACCACTATGTTCCGACACCGCTATGTTCCGACACACAGTATACTTGTGTCAAACTT